TAAAGATGGGATCCAAAGTGTAAAGATGGGATCCCCTCTTTCTGAAACCTCTCTCACAAAGTGTCAACATTTTGAAAATTTCGTAACACAATATCAAGCGATTTCATCCAAACAATGGAAATTGTACTACTGTTAACAAACCTGGATGAAGTCCGAAGATGGAACCCATCGGTCCAATCCTTCTTGTAGCTCCTTTACAAGCAGTCAACTTTTTAAAAACTTCTAAATTTTATTCGAAGCTAAGGGAATAATTGAATGCACATTATAATATTTCATCAAACCTAGATGAAGTCCGAAGATGGGGGTATATAGGGCATTTTCTTTCTTAATAAAAAATCCTTATATAAATCGAATAGTTAATCCTGTGTGCTCTAAACATGGCAGACCTTAATATTAATACCAAAGACAGATTAAGTGCATTTATCGACAATATGTGGGTCCACATCTCTGATACACACAAACTGTCAAAATGTAAAAAAAAAGATATAAATTTTATAAAATAATTGCTCCACATCGACACGAGACAGTAATTCCGTATATCTGTCAGCAAAATCGACTGACCCTTTTCACTCTTTGTTTTTAATTTGGATGCTCTGATTTTTAAGCGTTTCCCCGAATTTATATTTCGGTCCTGCCTTTTTTGTTCTTATCCTTCCTTTTTATCCATTTCTCGCTGCAATCACTTATATTGCATTCAAAAGCCAGTAGCAAACCATTCAAACCATTAATGATAATTTTATTGAAAATATTTCGTGACAAATTCATAATACTTGAAGAGGAGATGAAAAAAAATACACAACAGCTACGCCAACAGCCGACCACTGAATGAAGTCGAAACCGGTAATTTCAATTGTTCAGACTTTCAGTCAAACGCTTTAATGAGACTCATTTCGATTGTGAAAAAAAGTGTGAAACGGCAATTTTTTTCTTAATGATTTTGTAGTTGTTGTTGCAGACTGGATTTCACATTAACAATATTTTCAATCACGAAGTGTATATTTGTTGTTGTTTTTGTTGTCATTGTTTAAATAACTGTCTTTGGCTATCAATATCGTTGGTTATTATAATTTATTAACATTAATTGAATAAATATTTGCAAAAAGCGGGGTATTTAAAGTAGTTTTGACTTTAAGCTTATATTCATTGTTCGGTTCCGTTTCTATAATAAGCGCCTACTTGACTATCTGCTCTCATTAGCTAGCTTGTGGAATGAATGGATGGATATTTTTCGCTATAGGCATTCGATTTTTGTTCTACCATCATTTTTGTTTTGCTATGTTGGAATATTTTATAAAATAGGTGTTGTTGATTTCTGCAGCAGCTGTCAACAACCTCCAGTTTGTTTGACTTGCTAATTTGTATTGATTGCGACCTACCGGATTGCCTGCCTGGCGGATCTAATAATAACAATTATCTTAAGGCTGGCAGAAAACAGGGTGCGAAGAATGATTAAAATACGCTCTTTCTCACGAACGCTCGCGGGCGAGAATTCGAATGTTTTCAATGAATGAACAAACATTTACAATTTCTCGCGAATGTTCACATTGTACGAAAAATTCAGGAATGATAAAATTTTGCTGCACGCGTCGTCAATTCATTCTTTCACGAGCATTTGTTGCTGAGGAACACTCTTTTGAAAAACTCAAAAAACAATTGTTCACGAATGCTCGCGAACACCATTAAAAACAACAACAAACAAAACCAGTGAGCGGAGCAGTATAGTCGAACGGGGCCGACCATATGATACCCTACACAACATCCACGGAAATGTAACTTTGTGTGGTTCTTTATTCTAAGCTTGGGCATTTACATTTTGCAACCTCTTGACCGACTAGAAAATATATATGGGTTGTGTTATATCTAAATCTGAACCGATTTTCACGAAACTTGGCACACATCACTACAGGCTCAATTCATATTACGCTTTTTGCCAAATTTCATTAAATGAAATTATATATAGTTGTGCACAATTTTATGTCAACATAACAAACATGAGGAAATATATACGGAAGCTATATCTAAATCTGAACCGATTTTCACGAAACTTGGCACACATCTCTACAGGCTTAATTCAGTACGCTATGCCAAATTTCGTGCAAATCGAATGATATATAGGGACTTAGATGCACCATTTACATTAAATCGGACGAAAATATATATGGGAGCTATATATAAATCTTCACCGATTTTCATGAAACTTGGCACACATCACTATAGGCTCAATTCAGTACGCTATGCCAAATTTCGTGCAAATCAATTTATATATAGGGACTTTGGTGCACCATTAACATTAAATCGGACGAAGATATATATGGGAGCTATATCTAAATCTGAACCGATTTTCACGAAACTTGGCACACATCACTATAGGCTCAATTCTGTACGCTATGCCAAATTTCGTGCAAATCGAATGATATATAGGGACTTAGGTGCACCTTACCTTAAATCGGACGAAGATATATATCTGAACCGATTTTCACGAAACTTGGCACACATCACTATAGGCTCAATTCAGTACGCTATGCCAAATTTCGTGCAAATCGAATGATATATAGGGACTTAGGTGAACCATTTACATTAAATCGGACGAAAATATATATGGGAGCTATATCTAAATCTGAACCGATTTTTCCCAATTTCAATAGGGTTCGTCCTTGGGCCAAACAAGTGACCTATGCCAATTTTCATCCAATTCGGATCATAAATGCGACATGTACTTTCTTTACAATTTGAAATGTACAGACGGACGGACAGACGACCATTTATAAATCGACTTAGAAAGTAATTCTATGCATATTCTCAAAAGGAACCATAAGTCTATCTCGTTTCCTTTTGCCTGTTACAAACATATGCACAAAGACATAATAGCCTGCACCACAGTGTGGTGAAGGGTATAAAAACACAAAAAAAAAACTTTTGGGGTTGCACAAAGCTATAATACCCTCACAACATAGTTGTGTAGGGTATAATAAAGTTTTTGGTCCACTGCATCCCAATTTTATTATCTGATCGTCACCGAAAATTATAGGCGTTATCTTTGACCACACCTGGACCCCCGTGGAAAATTTCAAATCGATCCGCGATATTTTTCCGCCTCTAGTGTGGTAATGTGTTACTAAATAATATCTGAGTACGTAAGCACCTGTAAATATTTAAGTGTAACTTCCACATCCGAGTACATACTACAATGTAATTGGTATCAATTTAAAAATTCAAAATGTTTCAACCATAATTGCGGCCTCTAGAGCGACCAGAAAAACCGATAAAAATTAAGTATTTGGTCCATTTCATCCCCTAAATAATAACCGATCTTTACCAAAAACAATAGGGGTCTTCATTGACCAGAACCGATCCTACGTGCAAAATTTCGTGAAGATTGGTCCATAACTGTGACCTGTATCGTGTTTACTAATTATAATGGGCAGACAGACGAACGGACGGACACACATGTCTAGATCGACTCAGCTAGTCGAGATATGACGATCGGTGTACTTAAAGGTGGGTCTAGGACCAAAATTTCGCGGCGTTACAAACTCTTGGGGCTGCACAAAGCTATAATACCCTGACAACATAGTTGTGTAGGGTATAGATATCATAAAAAAGTAAACACACAAACAACGAAAGAATGTGTGTGTAGCAGAAAGTGTGTAGAATAACAAAACACATGCTTAACAACTATTGAGTTCACGAACGTTTGTTGTTATTGTTGTTGCCGAATTCGCCAGAATTCGGGAATATTTGTTTTCATTCGTGAGAGAAAGAATTTCAACGAAACGAACGATCGTTGTTGTGTGCTCTCACTCGTTTGTTATGTGTGTGCGAACTTTCTTTGGCGAATGTATTTTGAATCATTCGCGAGCGAATGTTTGCGCACCCTGGCAGAAAAGAACAAAGTTTAAATGCAATTCAAGTGAAAAGATTAGTGTCAATGTATAATTTTGTATGTTTCGAAAAACAATTAAAAACTTTTTTTGAAAAAGCTGTATTAGGCATTTAAAATAAACCAAATGTGAAATGTGATATTATATGATTTTGATATTTATAATGGAAATACTAAACCACACTAATATAGGTGTCTGAAATTTTCAGTATTTCTCCCATGTCTGACCTATTCTATCACTAGAATTTATTTTAAATTAAAAGTCAAAAGCTCATCTTTCATACACTGTAAGTTTTCAGGGTCCTGGAGTTAACATTTACACCATAAGTTGGCCAAATCCAATTTTCCTGCGTAAGGGTAGTTAGAGAGTTTGTAAAGTTTTGAAAATAATACATAGTGTTAATCAGAATGTTCATTGTATCAACGTAAACAAATCATTGAAATAATTAAATTTTTATTTCATTTTTTTTTTTCAAAATAGTCAGGCTGAATCCCAGTTTGTTTTTTTTTTTATAAAAAAAAAACAACTATTTATAAGTGGGGAATGTATGGCATTGTTTGCCCGGGGGGTAAGGCGGGGAAGACTATAGTTTCGGATCACGCCACTGATCCTCATCAGTTCCCTCAGTTTTTTGTTGGGATATTCTCCCCAGAAGCTATTGCCTCTATACAAAAAACCTTTCAAACCCAAATATTATGTTACCGATTAAAATTTCCACTAGCTAGATTATATCTACAACAAATCTACAATCAACATGTGTGTCCGATACACCCTATTACATTTATCACGATATATGTTTGACTATAAGGAAATGTCTGACAACTACTTAAAGGCAATTTGATAATTGCAATTATTTAATGTTGAACCGTTAATCGAAGTGCTATAATTGATCAACATATTTAGAACATTTATGATTTCACAGGTTGCATTCAGTTCGATATTCAATTCAGTAAACGAAAGTGGTCTTGTAGCAATGAAGGGCCAAAAGATTTTTATCGCTATACTTTTGGCAATTTTCACAGGGGCAACAAGTCATACTACCATAAATACCGTAATAACGATTATGCGATAATTCTTAAAGAAGAAGAAAAGAAATTAATTTTTTCCACATCATTTTAGTGCGACCGAATTCGTCAACATGGCTATCCCTGTGAAATACACAAAGTGACAACCAGTGATGGTTACATCTTGACACTTTTTCGAATACCGAACACGAAGTCAGAGAAGCCTATGCGATTTCCTGCCCTCCTGATGCAATGTTTGTCCTGCACATCGGATATTTATGTGGTGACTGGGCCGAATGACGGTTTGGCATTTTTGCTGGCCAATGCCGGTTTTGATGTTTGGCTGGGCAATTCTCGTGGTAATAATTATTCTCAACAACATGTATCTCTGTCACCGTACTCTTTGGAATATTGGTCATTTTCCCTTGACGAGGTGGCGTTAATTGATGTACCAACCAATATACGATATATACTTAAGGCGACAAATCGCACAAGACTTCATTATTATGGTTATTCACTAGGTGCTACGGTTTTTTTGATGCTGCTTTCCTTAGACCCCAGCTATACGGAAATAATACAATCTACTCATCTCTCGGCACCACCGGTTTTTCTGTGTCTCAGGCGGACTAATTTGGAAAGCATTCTTTTGCAATTTATTGGTGAACCGGGCAATGCGGCAGTTGAACTAATTGGTTCATTTCCCAGTCAGGGTTTAACATCGTTATTCCGATATCTTGGTCATCGATTTTGTCAAGTGAAACAAAATCACAGAGTGTGTAGGGAAATTGTGAATTTCTTTAGTGAATGGGGTACGGCATATCTCAATACGGTAAATAGTATGACAACAACATGTATGCAATTTTTCAATTATTTAAATCTACCTTAACTTTTAGACTCTACTGGCAGATCTTTTTCTTAGCATCCCCGCCGATAATTCTCTTCGCCAATATATTCATTATTTACAATTCGCCAAAAATTGTGAATTCAAAGCGTATGATTTTGGTCGAGAGACCAATATTCGGAAATATGGTTCGGTGAAACCTCCTTCGTATGATTTGAAAGCCATTCACACCGCGCAACCCATTGAAGTTTATTTTTCCGATAATGATAATATGGCATCGTTGGAAAATGTGAAGAAGTTATACAGTATCATGGGGAGAGTTTGCAATTGGAATCGTCTAAAACTCCGCAGATATAGCCATTATGATTTTACATTGGCCACAAATGTAGGGGAAGTTGTTAATCGCTGTTTGGTAGCTAAGTTGCAGAAATACGAAGGTCATCCATTAGATGCGGAACGTTGTAAATATTTTCGAAATAAAGCATTTTGAAAAAAAGAAGTAGTTTTAGATTTTTTAAGCGATTAGGAATTTTTGTAAATAATTTTTTGACAACTTTCCAAAACTTCCTATATTTCCCAACCATATTCCCCAACAATGATCCTAACTCAATGTTTCAGAATCTCAGCACCCAAAATTCAAATTGTTCTAATGTTGTTGTTGTAGCAACAGAATACATGTCGTTTGTTCTGCTTCTTCTACCTCCAAATGCAAGAATGCTGCAACTTCAGCGGTGTGAATTCGGCGATAGATGAGTCGGCTTACTTACTTAGCTGGCTTGTTACAGAACGGTTGTTCCATAAGCCGAGCTTAAAAAAGATTTCCAAGCGCTTCGGTCTTGTGCGCAAGTCCACCAATTTGGAAGACCACGTTCGAAGATGTTGTTTTCTACTTGGTCTTTCCATCTAATTCGTGGCCTTCCCCTTCTACGGGAACCATCCGTAGGCTCATTTTTATATGCCTTTTGAGCTGGGGCATCTTCATTCATCCGCACAACATGGCCTAGCCACCGTAGTCGCTGCAGCTCAATACGACTGACTATGTCGATGTCTGCGTATAAATTGTAGAGCTCGTGGTTCATTCGACGCCGATATTCACCGTCGACGCAGATCGGCCCGTAGATCTTTCGGAGAATTTTTCTCTCAAACACCCCAAGCGCTGCCTCATCTGCTTGCGCAAGTACCCATGCTTCTGATCCATATAATAGCACGGGTAGTATCCGCGTCCTGTAAAGTGTGAGTTTGGTCTGGCGAGAGGTGGCCTTGTTTCTAAACTGCTTACTTAGACCATAGTAGCATCTGTTGGCCATCACAATCCTTCTCCGAATTTCAAAACTGATATCATTCGTTTTATTTATGGCGGTACCAAGGTATATAAAGTCTTTAACTACCTCGAAGCTGTAGTTCTCAAGTTCCACAGTTGGTCCGAGTCTACTGGACGTCTTGCGCGTTGATACCATCAGCTTGGTCTTCTCGCCGTTTACTGCCAGACCCACTTTGGCAGACTCCTTTTCAATTTGTTCAAAGGTGGCTGTTACCGCTCGCAATGTTCGACCCATTATATCGATGTCATCGGCGTAGGCGAGTAACTGGTGTTGTTTGGTGTACAGAGTGCCATTTCTGTTCACCTTTGCGTCTCGTATGACCTTTTCCAGTAGGATGTTAAAAAGATCACACGACAAACTGTCACCTTGTCTGAATCCTCGTTCGGTATTGAAGGGCTCCGATAGGTCCTTTCCTACTTTAACGGCTGACCTTGTGCCACTTAAAGTTATCCTGCATAGCCGTATTAATTTTGCAGGAATGCCGAACGCAGACATGGCTTTAAACACCTCTGAACGGATAGGACTGTCGAATGCGGCTTTATAGTCGACAAATAGGTGATATGTGTCGATGTGTTTTTCGTGGGTCTTTTCCAGGATTTGGCGCAGAGTGAAAATCTGGTCAATGGTCGATTTGCCAGGTCTGAAGCCGCATTGGTATGGTCCGATGATGTCATTGACCATTGGCTTCAATCGTTCACACAGCACACTGGATAGCACTTTATATGCGATGGGAAGGAGACTTATTCCTCTATAGTTGGTACATATCGTCTTGTCTCCTTTTTTGTGCACGGGACACAGGATGCTGAGGTTCCAATCATTGGGCATGCATTCATCTAGCCAAATTGTGTTAATCAGCTGGTGCATGCTCCTGACCAGCATCTGGCCACCAGTCTTGAATAGTTCGGCTGGTAACCCATCGGCTCCTGCTGCTTTGTTGTTCTTGAGCCGATTAATTGCTTTTATGACCTCATCTTGGCTAGGTGGTATACACTCTATACCATCATCTCCTATTGGTTCTGGGGTATCTTCTTCATCGCCACTATTTGATACTAGTGGCTTTTCGAAATGCTCCTTCCAGATCCTCAACACGCTGTCTGTATCTGTCACCAGGTTTCCTTCTTCATCTCTACAGGAGGATGTGCCTGCACCAAAGCCTTCGGTTTGGTGTTTTACTCGTTGGTAAAATTTCCGGACTTCATTCTGACTCCTGTACATCTCGATTTGCTCACGCTCACGATTTTCTTGTTCTTTCTTCTTTTTTCTGAAAACACGTTTCTCCTCTCTCCTTTTCTCCCGATAATTCTCCATCACGTTACGTGTTGCTACTGTCTGCAGGGTTGCCCTATACGCTGCGTTTTTCACATCAGTAGCATTACGACACTCCTGATCGTACCATGGGTTTCTTGGTGGTGGTTTTTGGTACCCAATTGTTCTTTTTGCTGCAGTGTGTAGGGAGTGGGCAATTCTTTGCCATTGTGCTTCTATACTATTATCGGGACAAGAAGTGCTTTCTTCAAGCAGATGGGTAAGTTGAGCGGAGTAGGCCTCGGCTACCTGTTGTGTTTGCAGCTTTTCGACGTCGAGTTTCCGTGTTGTATTAGATCGCACCTTTGCTGCAACATTTAGACGGGTGCGTACCTTGGCTGCCACAAGGTAATGGTCCGAATCGATATTCGCTCCTCGGATCGATCGGACGTCTAACACAATGGATGCATGCCTTCCGTCTATCACAACATGATCAATTTGATTTCTCGTTA